TTGCTATCTGTAAATAATTAAATCAGTATTATTCAAGATTGTGTCTTTTTTGCATGAAAATGTGTCTGGCCCAATTAATTAAGTTTGGTACTGTATATATACATATATATATATATATATATATATATATATATATATATATATATATATATATATATATATATATATATATATATATATATATATATATATATATATATATATATATATATGTATATATATATATATATATATATATATATATATATATATATATATATATATATATATATATATATATATATATATATATATATATATATATGTTAGGGTAGCCCTTATATTTAAACTTTTAAATTATTTAGCTCCCAACCCTATTTCTTGTTCCAATCATGAAAATAATGATCTATACAAAATTTTAGCGTTACAACTTCGGACAACTGTAAGTCGACCCTCATCGTCCATGAAGATTCGAAATTTTTGCCTTGAGAGTCATTTTTGAAATGAAAAGTTTAAAAACTGTTTTCAAAACTGTTTGTGCTGCTCGTATAAGGTGACTTTTATATTCACTTCTTTTTAAACAGTAAAATGGCATCAAGCTGGCCTGGGAGTTCGTCACAGAAGTTAAGTAAAGATTTTCATGTCTGTCGTGTTGGCTACATTTCAAATCAAATTGTCGGAGTGAAATTGCTATCGAGGATAAGAATTTCATAATTCTTTAGCGCCAAAAAAGACAACCAGGGTCTAGGCTTATTGTGTATCAGAAACTAAGATACAAGTAAGAAAGGGCACTGAAACGCACTGCAATACAAGCTGCCAGGAGAAAAAGGACTTATGAAGAAATGGAACAATATTTAGTACTCTTTCTACATCAAAAACTGATTATTCAGCATCAAACAGTAAAGACATTGATAGTTGTGACGACAGTGAAAGTTCATCTGCCATTGTTAAGCAAATATCAACAGCAGGAGTAGCAGCAAAAGTTCCAACAATACGAGGTACATTACCATTTTTCGCTCCCCGTCTCGCAGAAGTTATTGATAGGTGCTAAATTACTGACAGAATTGGGGTTTACATATTAATGGCTGCCGCAGAAGCTTTCAGATGTTATACTGAAAATCTGGTGATAAATTGCACTTTCAACGCCTTAGAAAAAAAATTTAGAGAAGCAAGACACTCAGAAATTCAGCAAAACCTAAGCCTAAATGGTTTTAGTTTTGCTGAATTTCTGAATGTCTTGCTTCCATCGTTGGAAGCCTAACCCTAACCCTAAGCACCATACCATAATTTCATATTCATGTGCTAACTGTTTAACTATCAAGATATAGATCCATAAGTCAGAAAGGCTGCTGCAAAAAAATTTTCCAACCACCGCTGGTATTTAGTTCCCGAATCTGTTGCTCGCGCCTTATTTGATAACAATGATCTACCAGCAGTTAAAGCAAATATAACTCAAGTTTTGCTCGACTAAGATAAAGAAGCGGAGGAAGAAAAAAATCAAGTCAAGAGATACATTCTTCTCAAAAAAGGTTTTTTTTTCTTTTCCAAACATTAAGTTTCCGTGGGAAACACTAAATCCAACCCTTTAAAGTGCTACCTAGATTTTACTGACTACCGATGCGATCTCCAACGGGATTATATTTTACTTAAAAATAAAAGAACTCTGAGATGTAGTAAAATTTTTTTGAATATTAATTCAGAAACTTTTTAAAATACATTTTAGGAGAGAAAAATTAAAATTCCAAAAGAAATTAGCGGTGTAATATTTCTCTAATAAATTTAAGTTGTAAATACTTAGTTTTTAAATATCTTCGGTATAACCAAAATTAAGTATAAATTATATATAAATAAATGTTCGTGATAAAACAATCAATTTATTATAAATATAAATAAATCAACAAATGCTTTCATGCCTCTGGTTTTTTTAAAACTTACAAAAAGTTGTTTTAATTACAAATAATATAGTTTATAATGTAGTTTTTACACATTAAATAACACTTCCTACATCTTTATTTTCTGCAAAGAACCGCTGTTTAAGTTTAGATTAAAAAAGAGTATAATATGAGTGCTTTTCACAAGTTTAATTTATACTTCCATTAATTTGGTGTAAACTTAAATATTGAGTCAAGTCTTTTAGTTAAGGAAACAAAAACTAATGTTTAATGAAACGTATAAGTATTATTCAAGATTACTTTTATACGTATTATTCAAGATTACTTTCATAGCCAACAAAATGTTGTTTAAAAAATATTTCAAATATAGTAAACCAGGAAATACAACAGAATAATGCTTCACAATTTTCCAATTTAAATAGTTCCATGCTAAATATGATAGCTTAGAAGTCAAAAAAGCTTACAAAGAACAACTTTTTTACGTTACCTGATTATAAAATACGAAGATCTTGACATAGAAACCCTAATAAGTTTGTACTAAACTGATTACAACCTATAAAAAGTTGTTTTGTTAGCAAATACTTCGGTTAACAATGTAAATTTTAAACATTAAATTGTTTAAACATTAGATTACAATTCTTGTACCTTTGTTTTAGATCTTACTTCGATTTTTATTTTTATGCTCTAACATTTCCGCAAGAAACCGCTTTTAAAGTTTGGATTTAAGCACAAAAAAAAAACAGTTAACAGAAAATGAATCATAAAAAATAAATGAAAATAAATTGTAAACTGTATGACAGAAGAAAACATAGAGACGTGCAAGAAATTCAGTAAATACACGGTTTTTGAGCCTAAGGAAATAGTTACAGAGAAAGAACTGTTTTTGGGTTTATGGAATAAGAGATAATAGCATTTGCACGGTACTGCATTCTCGCAGAAACTGTGGAGTTTTATTCCATTAAGTGTGGAGTAAACCTCCACAGTTTCAGGTTTTAACACAACTAATCTACAACTGCGCACAATAAGCCCGCGTCTGTGTATAAGAGTGATAGCTGCACACCAATATAAAAGAAAACTTTACTCTATCCCCAAGAGTGTATTTGTGGAAAAGTGAGAGGTGCAACGTTACGAGTTTTGAGACAGAGACTCTATCTCTAATCGGAGTCGTATATATTCCAACTCTTCTGTAAAACTGAGTTTGCCAAGACTCACATGATAGATAATTTACGTTATAACTGATTGAAAACCAGATTTATAGTTAAAACTAATAAAATATGATTGAGTTGAATGTTATGTTTCAAGTCTATATACATGGGTGTAGAGTCTTTATCTTTGTTAAAACCTAACTTGTAGAGTCTTTATCTTTGTTAAGACTAAATGGCGCTTAAGACTAACACCCATAGTTTATATACCGATGTGTTATTGGTAGCAACAATATAAAATAAATAATTTATTTAATAAAAAAGCCGATTTTTTTCAAATCTAATGCCGGGTAATGAAAGAAAATGAGATAAAGGTTTCAACTTCAATTTTTTATTTTGCGAAATATAATATTAATTTTTTTTTCCAGAAGCTTCCGTTTCAATCGATATTTTTGATGCCGCTTTTTGTGCGTCATTTGCAATTCCAACTCTACCTGAAAGATTCGATTTCTTTTTTTTGGAAGGAGGTAGCATGTTGAAGTAGATGTTGTTTGTTTGGCAAATAGCACGATGTCTTTTTTTTTATGTGCGAAAATTAACCCGTGATCTTTACATGTACTTTCTTCACAGTCTTTTAATGCGGTTTGTAGTATTTCTTCTAGTTGATCAAATACTTCTTGAGACTCAATTAAGTAAGTCAATAACTTTATTTGATTTAGCAATTCGCGGCAAATAGAAGTTTTATCGGTTATGTAGCCAAGAAGGCAGACTTTGTTGGTAGGAACGGTAATAACCAGACGTTTTAAAATTAGATTCAACATAGCTAAAAAATTACTTTTACAGTTATAAGCTAATTATACACAAACACACACACATATATACGTGTGTCAAAACAGCAACACTAAAATGTACCTGCTATACTTATCAGGTAAAAATTGTTCCACAAGAACCGTAATCATTCCACTTAAACTTTTTTTATGGAATTTACTTAAGTAGCCATACGTATTTTTTACTTAAGTCCTTTACTTAAGTTTTTACTTTTGTCATGGAATTTACTTAAGTAACCAAAATCTTTGTTTTTACTTTCCACTCCATTATTTGTGTTCACTGCAACTTCAAGCGAACCGAGTCAATAGTAACGTACCCAGAGCTAATTAAAGGAAATACATATATCAAAAGTTATAAAAACACACTAATCTTTTTTTTATTTATTTATTTATTTATTTTTATTTGCATTCACTTCCAACAAGGCTGCAAGCAACCACTACTAAGTTGGGAGTTACTAGGAAAAGAACAGAGTTTTATAGCAAGGAAACGGTTGACAGAAGACTTGAAAAGTTAAAGGTTGTATGAGTCAGGAAAACATGAAGATGGGAGAGAGTTCCAAAGGGTTGAAGTGCGAGGAAAAAAACTAGATAAATAAAAGTTTTTAGAGCATGCAGGAACAGATACAGTAAACGAATGAGACTTAGCTGAATGACGAGTAAAACGAGAATGAATTTTAGTTGATGGAACTAGAGATGATAACTCCTTTAAGCAGTGACCATGATAGTATTTGTAGATAAGAGAAAGAGATGCAACTTTACGACGATGGGAAAGAGGTTCAAGCTTAGCAGATAGTCCAGGTACAACAACATTTACAATGAGTTTTGGGACCTTGTCAAGAAGAGAAAGTGAATCGTTAGAAGAACCAGCCCAAATATGACAACAGTATTCCATACAGGGACGAATAAGAGATTTGTAGAGGTAGAGAATGGAATCAGAAGTAAGGAAATGGCGAGCACGATAAAGAGAAGCAACTTTAGCAGAAGCTAATTTAGCAATCGATTGTATATATGGTTTCCATGAAAGGTCAGTAGTAAGCGATAATCCAAGAAGACGTAAAGAGGAGGACTCAGTTAGAGGATTCCCAGTGGGCATACGTCGTCCACACGACGTCTAGAGGACGTTACAATTCCGTGCGTTTCAGTATGTTATGTTAAAGAAAATGGAACAATTAGAGGATAACCAAATCCAGACTACAAATTCATTAGCATCTCTAGGTGATGGTGGTAATGGTGATGCAAGTGTTGTAGTGGAAGACATGCAACCTATGCTATCAATTGAAGAGTTCGACATAGAGGAAATAAAACTCCAAAATAAAACATACCGAGATAAAAAGGTAATTATTCATAAAGTATTAATATCATATGCAACAAATATATTTTTTTAATTAACTTCTTAATTAGTTTATGCCTTTATAATTTTCTATTCTACAAGTTTTATTCTATAAAGGTTGTTTAGTGATTAGGTTGACGATTTGGATGCATAGATAAAAATATATATATCTTTTTTTTTTTTGCTGGTTTTTTTAAACATTCTATAAAGGTTTTTAAGAAGGCCATATATTACTATATCTACCGTCTAGTATATAGTATCGAACGGTTTAAAATTTATGAGCTGGAATTAGGATGAAAATTCGTTTAAAACAGATTAAAATGTCTAAAGGAGTAATCTTTGTAAACTAAATTAGAAGTTAAAAAAATAATACAAACTTTTAATGGAGGCGATGATACCTTTCATAGTTGTAAGTTGTTATTACATCGCAGCCTTGAGTTGTACATAAGATATAATTGCCCCATCAAAACTTTTTTTATACTGTTTTTTTAAACAACTTTTTGCAGGCATCTAAATTTTTTGACTTTTTTATGTGAGTTAATTAGAATATTTCGAAAAGAATGTTTTCCCTGATCAAAATAAAATTTATAACTTTTATTATATAGAAAATAGCTATAAAGACACTAGGAGGTAAGGATTTGCGAGCATCTGTAAGGCTTGCATTAGATGCTTTGATGGCTCGTGACGTCCAAAACCTATTTAGCAAGGATGGAATATCCGGGAAAAAAGCATTTTCAAAGACAATGCATTATCGTTGCTTGCTCGGTATGTATTTTCAATAATTGTTATTGCTCTAATTATAAATCGTTAATTTAAATATTTCATAATAGCTAATCATTTAATGAATAAATGACTGGAAAAAAAATCTTCGGTTTCCTCATCCAATGCTGCTGATCGCCATTAATACTAAGTGGTCTCCATAAAATTAGCTGAACTCATTATTGTTTGTTAATTATCATTAGTTATTGATATGTTTTCACGCAACATTTTTCTCATTTTTAGGAGCGTTTCTGGATCCTACAAAAAAATTTACAAAGGATATAATTGATTTTAATGTTGGAGACTTGCTCAAAAGAGCGAAGATTCAAAATAAAGCTGACAGTTTTAACAAAGAGAATAAACAACCTAATAATTAATGTTATTTTGTTTTAAGATAACTTATTTTTGCGAATAAATATTAATATAATATTATGTTTTTGTTGTTTTTTTTGCACTGAGAAAATTTTAATTAGTTATTAGCTAGCATTATTAATGGAAATTCGGTCATAAACAGCAGATTGCAAACAACTTAATTTGAAAAAAAAATCTAAAATAATGGACTTTTATAGCACTATTATATACTGTAGCGGGTATTGGATTTTAGGACGTCCATAAGACGTAGGTTATACGTCCATACGACAAATTTTATGACGTCCTATGGACGTTTTTATTTCGTCCCTTTGGGACGGACGAAAAGCGTTTAAAATAGTACGTCTTTAGGACGTCGCCGGTTCGTCCAGTTAGGACGTCTCCTGGTCCAAAACGGACGTCTACTGGACGTCTCATGGACGTCCCAATGCCCACTGGGTTGCCATTCATTAAAATAGGAATGTTGACCATATTACGGTAGTTGTTTGCAGTAAGCAATTGGGTTTTTTTAGAGTTGAAATTCACAAGCCACTGTGAACCCCAATCTATTACTGAAGTGAGATCAAATTCAAGATCAGCTGCTTGTTCTAGGCGATCGAAAAGAGAAGACTTTTGTCAAGACAGGAGTATAAAGTTGAGTCATCATCAAAAAGAGCTACTTTAGATGAAAGGTTGTCAGGAAGATCGTTTATGTAGATAAGAAACAAAACAGGGCCCAGGATGGAACCTTGGGGAACCCCAGAAGTTACTGGAAATAAAGAAGAGTGTTAGCCTTCAAGGATGATTTGCATTAATACACTTGTCAAAAATTACAGTATAAGTTTTGTTTAAAACTATTTCTTAATACCTCTGAGTAATAAAATTGTTCTATTGTACCTGATGGACTGGAAACCAAGTTTTGTCGAGCCAATTTCGAAAATTCTTGGAACTATCCCTTTTCCAAAGCTCACTCGCTTTTAACTCTCTAATATGTTCTTCATATAGATCATATGGTTCAGATGATGCAATCTTTCTTAGCATAACTAAAATTGTTTCTTTTTTATCTCGTAGTCCATTATTATGAGCAGATAACCATCGAACCCATGCTTGCTCCCGGTGGAAATCGCATAATAAAAGATGCGTATCTAAAAAAACAAAAACTATTAATTTTCTTTAGCATATTTTTCTTGCAAAGTATGTCAATATTTTGTGAGAAAATAAGTCAAAAAAAAAACTAATAGTTTTCATCTTTTATTATATTATATATATAAATACGTTTTATAGTAAATAAAATGCTTTTCCTTAAGCAACGTAGAACTTTTACTTTTGTTACTTTTCAGACCTATTTTTTTACTTAATAACGAATTATTATTATTAACTAATGCTGTTGAGATAAAGCACCAGGCAATATCTATGGCAGCCGGTATAAATTAATTAATGAACAAGTTAGTTCAGTCACTAAATAATAAAAACGTTAATAATAAGCTTTCTTGGTTTTTATCTTGTTTGTTATTGCTTCTAAGTCGACCGATTGCAAGTTTAATTTGAAGCTTTTAACAGTAGTAGATTGAACAACTTCGGCTGGTAGACTATTCCATCCATCAACAACTCTATTGCTGAAAAAATATTGCCTTTTCAAACAATTTCTGACCAATTCAGGTTTCATTCAATATTTTGCTCCTCTAATGTTGGCTGCAGGAACTGATGAGCAAATAGAGTTCATTGTTTGATTTTGTTTAATATCAATGATTTTAATACCTTTAAATATTTTGAATTGCTGGACTAAATCGCACCTTAGCCTTCTAGTCTCCAAAGTAGTCAAACCCAAAATTTCCAATCTTTTTTTGTACTCAAGATGTCTTAGCTCCTGTATCATTTTGGTAGCTCTTTGTTGGACTTTTTCTAGTTCATTAATATCTTTTGTATAATACGGAATCCATACTTGAATTGAAAACTCTAAATTTGGTCTAACATATGAACAATACAGTGTTTTTATTAGATCTTTATCCTTGTACTTGAATGTATTATTTAGTATTGAGAGTATACTATTTGCTTTACTAGCTGCATATTTTACTTGTTTAGCCCATTTTAAATCACTTGATATTTAAACACCAATGTCTTTTTCTAGTTTTGACTTTTCAATTTCCATTAATGTATTGATATTGTTCATAAAATATGAATGGTTGTTATTATTTGAACCAAAGTGCATAATTTTACATTTTTCAAAATTTAATCCTAATTTCCATTTTGTTGACCATTCGTCAAGTTTATTTATATCATTTTCAAACATTTGTGAATCATTTTGAGAAGAAATAGGTGCAATTATCTTATTATCATCAGCATATAAACGACATTCATTAATACAATTTTCTGGTAAATCATTTATAAATACCAAAAAAAGAAGAGGACCTAGAACAGACCCTTGTGGTACACCACTAAGTACATCAACCCAATCTGTCACACTTTTACCTAAAACCACTCTTTGTTTTCTGTTAGCTAAAAAACAGACTGTCCACGTAAGAAGCTTACCAGAAATACCAAAAGTCAATAACTTGGATCATAACTTTTTATGTGAAACACTATCAAAAGCTTTTTTAAAATCTGTGTACAATACATCTACCGGTGTTTTATTGTGGAACGCATCTGTTAAAATTTCTAGGTATTCTAATAGGTTTATTTTACAGCTCTTGCATTTCATAAAACCATGTTGTTTTTTTGAAAGTAAATTATTTTTTATGAGATGTTGCATGATACAATCAGCTATTATTCTTTCTAACACTTTACATGGTATTGAAGTTAACGAGACTGGTCTGTAGTTAGATGCTTCTAATTTGCTTCCTTTTTTAAAAAGTGGCATTACATTTTCCTTCTTCCACATATCTGGTAGGGTACCTGTTTCCATCGATTTTTTGAAAATTAAATATAATGGGTATGATATTGACGAGCTGCATTCTTTTAAAACGTATGGATGAACAAAATCAAAACCGACTGATTTTGACTTATCAAGTGCTTGAAGTCTAGTTTGAAGTCGTATTTTGTGTTATTAAAACTGTGGTTAATAATAAATTTGAAGAACTCAATAATACTTGTACAATTATCATTAACATACACGGAATGAAAATATTTATTTAGTTCAGTAGCTCTAGCTAATTGATCATTTATAATTTCCCCATCATCAATTTTTAGAGCTCGAATTTGAATTTTCGCTGATTTCTTCTCATTGATATATTTATAAAGCAATTTAGGATTTGGTTTAAACTTGCTAGCTAAAGTACTTTCTAATTGTTTTATATTGTTCTTAATATCATTCTTTATTCTAATTTTTAGTTTATTATACTGAATTTTTGTTGATTCCTCATTCCAGCCATTACGTTTATTAGCAAGCCATATATTGTTTTTAGTTCTTATTTTATGTTTCAATTCAGGAGTAATCCATTTGTTTCTGTTGCTTCTATTTTGATAATTAATTCTTGGGATAAACAGATTAGTTGCATAATTGTAATGATACAAAAATAAATCATACATTTCATTTATAGTTTTACTTTTAAATCCATTTTCCCAATCTACATTATTTAAATGGCAAGAAAATAGTTCATAATTTCCTTTTTGATATAATCTAATGGATTTCTTATGTTCGGTTGAAAACTTATAATCATTCATTAGATAACAACACTTTAACAAATGATGACCCTGTTTGACATTCCCTAAAGGAGCTGAGTGAGTTATAGAAACAATTTCGTTTTTATCGTTTGTGATAATAAGGTCTACAATATTAGTTGATTTGTAGTTTGCTATTTGGAATGTTGGCTCACATACACATTGAAACAGAAAACAATCTTCAAGACATTCAATAAATTTATTAGCTTGAGATTCATTATCATTTGCTGAAAAAGGACAATTATTATCAGACCAATCTATTGTATTATAGTTGAAGTCACCTGTAATAATAAGATCGCTGTATTCTTTTTGATAAATACTCATTTTAGCAGCATTAATAGATAGCAAAACATAGTTATTATACTCATGAGATATATCTGGTGGTCTATAAATGCATCCAATTAGCATTTTGTTATTTTTAAAACATATACAAGTCCATATTTGTTCTATAAAATTATTGTTTAACGGTAAATTATTTGTTTCAAACTGATTAATACATTGTTTTACATAAATACAAACACCTCCTCCATGAGACTTTCTATCACTTCTAAAAATATTATAACTAATTATATTTACATCTGATTCTGCTTTAAACCAAGTTCTGTAACACAAATAACATCCGGTTTATATATTTCACATTGTAGCCTTAACTCACCAATCTTATTATTCAGAGACGTTGCATTTGTATACCAAATCATCAGTTCATTGCATTTTTGAGTATCGTGCTCCTTGTTTATACTTAAATCATATTTCTTACGCTCATGAATAGTTTACTATTTCAATATCTAGCTGTCTCTTATTGCTCAGTAACTTATTAAGATTTTGACCTCCACCACTAAACAGATTTATTTTATTGTTAGTTTCATAGTTAAAGCATCGAATGTGGTTTAAGTCTTTTATGGTATTAGTTGCTATTTTTTTATTTTTACAACTTTGTCATTTCTAATACCAAAGTAATATTGTCATTATTTAGTTTTTTACACTCTTCTCTTAATAGCTTTGATTTTTACCATTCAGTTTCAGTCAAATCAGGATTTATAAATACACTTTCGTATGTTTTATCTTTCTTCAATTCCTTGGCATTTTTAAAAACAGAATTACGTTCCAATTTATCATTTAAAACTACAATATTTGGAGCTTTATATCCATTTTTTAACTTAAATTTGATAACATTTTTTATTTTGACACTGACCTTTAACTTTTTTATGATTGTTTCAATATTTTGTTTATCTTCTTCAATAGCTTTGACTTTATCACTTAATGTTGATTCCTCTAAACCGAAAATAACCAAGTTAATTTCTCTTTTATCTCTTTCTTTGGTTTCATTTGCGATAGTATTAATAATTTGCATTTGATCTGGAGTTTTTTTTACTTTACTGGCCCAATCACCAGTCACTGCTGATATTGATTTAGAATTTTGATTTAGAATTTTCTAAATCCAGAACTCTCTTAGTCAAGTTTGCATTAACTGTTCTTAAAGTTTTGATTAACTTTTTTAAATCTACGATTATTGCTTCTTGCTCACATTTGTAAGTATTGAAATCACCTAGTTGAAAGTTAACCATTTGGATTACTGGATAGGAGGGCTACCACCCTAAATAACAGTGGATTACCTCCTTTCAGTAAAATTTTAATGCTATTATTATTAGTTTTGCTTATTACACAGGGACTTGTTACACAGGGAATAAAAAGTTTCAGTGTGTTTTTTTTTCCGAATGAAAGAACTAACTGTCTGTTTAGAACACTTTTCAAATGCGTTCATAAATATACGCAGCTATGCTGTTTGTATTGTTTTATCGCTTTAAAGACAACATAAAAAAGTTTTATATTTTCATTAAATAAACTTTTTTTTACATAAATACTACTCTTACATAATTTTACATAAATTTATATTATACAATGATTCACAAACATTAACAACTACTGAAACACATATATGAATAAATTTCATTTAAATTTTTATGACAAGATACCTTAAAAACTTATTTCTTTCATGTTATTGTTTGATATATTCAACTTTGTGACACACAAAAGTACTTTTTACTTTGTAACTCAAAAGTATTGCTACACCAAAACACATTTATTTCAGTATTTTGGTTAAGCAATACATTTGAGTTTACTTTGTTACTTTTAGATTTAGTACTTTTATTTTTTACTTTTTTTACTTTTAAGTATCCTTAAAATGTAACAACCCCAACCCTGCAAATAATGTACTTACTTGGAAACAAAAATAAGATGGATTGAATTTCTTCATCGCAGTTGTCTACCATAAATGTTTGTGGGAGCCATAGTGGATTCCGTATTTTAATGAATGTTAAAGCTTCTGTAATTGAGGTAACTGTCTCATTTTGAATGGCAAATGATGCTACAACTTGGTAGTCAACATTGGTTTTAACGACTAAAAAGAACAACGGGATGGTATATCGTGTCGTTTTGTATGTTGCATTAAGAAGACAAACAGCGTCGTTTACTTCAAATACCTTTGAAGTAAACGACGCTGGTTAGCATTTTGGTAAAAAAGTAATCGATTATTTTTTGACTCATTCAAATCAAGTGATGCTTCATTTTAAAAAGAATCAAAAGAATTAATGTTGCAATAATGACACAAACTCATTTTAAGAAATATTTCATTTTGATACAAGTTATACCTAAAATGACTTACGTTAACGTCCGTTAGATTTTCAATTCCACAGTTAAACCATCTTTTTTTCTGATTACTATTATATGAGTTCACTTTTTTGTATCCCCTGAACAAAATTTTATCATTTGGGTGTGATTTTTGCCATTCCCTTATCTTATAAAAAAGATTCTCCTGATCCATTTTAGAATATTTGAGTGCACTCACTGTGATGCTAATATAATTTCTGATATCAGAAATCCCAGGGTGAAAACGTCTGTTACTTGTTTCCGGCTGCTGCAAGCCTTCGAAAATGTCATATTTAACATAGCGTTAAAGACATCTTTTTATTTCACCTTCGCCAACCAAGCTCTTGATTTTTCTTATTATACGAGATTTTCAATTCCACAGTTAAACCATCTTTTTTTCTGATTACTATTATATGAGTTCACTTTTTTGTATCCCCTGAACAAAATTTTATCATTTGGGTGTGATTTTTGCCATTCCCTTATCTTATAAAAAAGATTCTCCTGATCCATTTTAGAATATTTGAGTGCACTCACTGTGATGCTAATATAATTTCTGATATCAGAAATCCCAGGGTGAAAACGTCTGTTACTTGTTTCCGGCTGCTGCAAGCCTTCGAAAATGTCATATTTAACATAGCGTTAAAGACATCTTTTTATTTCACCTTCGCCAACCAAGCTCTTGATTTTTCTTATTATACGTTTGTCAACTTGCTGTGAAACTCCTCTAAACTAAAATAGAATAACCAAATTTGTGAAATGGTTTATATGAAGAACTTATTTTCAAAACGTGGCATAAGCAATTTCTATAATAAATTATTAAAGTATAAAAAATCTTAAATAATATTTAAAAAGAAAAAATTAACGTGTGAAGCACTTTGCAAATATTTTTTAGTCTATTTATAATTAGTTTTTTTCAAATATTTCTTTGTAAATAGTAATTAAGTGTTTTTTTTTTCAAGTTTTTGAAAATAAGCTCTTAATATATTGTTTGACATCATAACCTACTAAAGTAACAGCATAAAAAAAACCGTAGGCGAGTTTTTTTTATGAATATAAAATTAATAACTTCTAATATAACGCCAAACAATAAACATGGTCTTTTAATCTAATATGCAATACGCTTTCACTTAATGTATATCAAATTTTCTTTCTTTTTAGAGCTAAATAATTAGATTTAAAGAGTATAAAAAAAATTAATTTTATAGTGTTGTGTCATTGGATGCATATGTAACTACGATGTTACAAAGTCTGTGAAAATTTTTTGCATGAAAATGTAAAGTATGTACTTCTTAATGTTTATTGATAAAAAAAAGTATTTTTCTGATATCGTTGCTAGGGCATTTAAGTACTTTTCACTGTCAAAAACCCCATACTCTCAACCATCTGATGACATTGAACTACCAAGTATATCTTTGATGACAAAGTTTATATCTAAAGTTAGAAATATTCTTATGTTGATCTGTTTCTCTAAATTTTCTCTTATTTCTCTACATTTTCTATTTTCTCTTTATTCTATATTTCTATTCTACTAATTGATGAAAATTATGGTAACACTGTTGTAAAAAATGACCAAAAACTACTTTGAGCTGACCCGAGAAAACCGCTTTGACAGGGTGAAACTACAATGTTTCCTGACTCCAAAAATGTAAAATTTGAAATCTAACTATTTCATCCGAGAAAATAATTTTGATTTTCAGTTTTTAGTACTTTGCACAATAGGACGAAATGACAGCTTTTCAAACTTTGAATTTTTACAGCATTCAAAAACCCTTCAAAATAAGCATTTATTACTCCAAAACATAACTGTCTAAAATTCACTTTAATAATAGTTTATTCTGACACAACTGATATAGTTTTTCATTAACAAGATGGAAATAATAAACACTTTCTTAAATAATTTATTTAGTTATTCTAAGCCAAAACACAAAAACAACCTCTTGATTCTAAACACATAAAGAGCAAATGGTACATAAAATAAATTATTCTCAATATTTGATTCTTCACAAATGCTTGCTGTTGTAGTCCACAACACATGAAAGAAGCCTCTTTGCATACTCAGGATGATTGCGGTCTCTTTTGTATCTCTGCCAATGTGAGCTGAAATTATGATGCATTGATTCTGTTGCCTGCTCACTAAAGATCTCCAAGGGAGCCCATTTGATCTCAATGAATTGCTTCACATGGAATAAAACAGCATGAACTTTTGGAGTCACACTGAAGTTCTTGATTGCTAAATATGAGTCTCTGAAGCGATCATTTTTTTCAGAAAAGTTATCCTTCAGAACCATACCAAAACATGCTGTCACCACAGACTTAAACTTTTGAAGGGCATCAATGATTCCAAAGACTTGAAAAGCAGACTCAGTCTCTGCAATTCTTTGAAGGAGGTAAAGATTGTTGAGAAGCTTGTGACAGGCATTTCCTGCAAACTGTCCACCATGGTATGGTTCTTGTTGAATGTGGAGAGCTGAGGGCTACTTGACAATATTGGGCCAAATTTCTGTCATGGCTTTGTACATGTGATTGACCACACCAAGGAGAAGATGGAGTTCCATTGGTGGTATGAGCTCCAAGATGAGTTTGTTTTCAGAATCAGATAGCAAAGGCTCATGCACTACACTGCCAAAAGATTTCGCCTTTTTGATATCACCACCAGACTTAGCAAACTCTTGATAACAGGCACCAAGTGAGCCTAGTGTCCTCAAAGATCCTGATTGAGAAAGATGCTTTGATTCTGTGTTGCACCAAGAGCAAGGGTGGGTACTTGCATGGCTCTGAAGGCCACAAAGGATGTTGGCAAGTTTCATGTCGCATGAGACAACAAAGTTGACTTTGTCTAACTTGATTAAAGAAAAGATCTGCCTCACATTTTGAAAGTTTTCTGGTAGTCCTTCTGATAAAGCCACAAGCATTTGACGCTTTACGCTTTTTTTCTTTGGCAGTCTCTGAGTTAAAAGTTTTTTCACTGGTGGTGACCTTGAATCACAGTGAGAATCCAACTCCATGATGCCAAGAGAAACTTTCAGAAATCCTCCACCTCCATCAATTCCCAACTTGACAATATGATTCTGGAAAACTCTTCGAGAAAGCAGGACTTCATTCAAAAGCTCGGCAAGATCCTTGCAATGCACAACCACAAAGTCAGTGGAGTTACTCTTTGATAAAACTTGGATGCTGGTTTGAGTAAAAAACTCAGACAACTGTTTGCCAATGGCTTCAAACTTAGCAAGAAAACTCCACAATCTTGGTGTCACTGACTTTGTTGATGGTTGATGCCAATTTCTTAATGCCAAAGTTGGACAGTCCTGTGTTTAGCTGAACTTGTACAAGATCTTCAGTTTTGATGCTGGGTTCAGGAAAAAGAGCTCTTGCACTTGAGCTTCCTAAAAATGAAATTATATTATTACTTTTTTTAATTTTAAGTTTTAAAATTAAAGGTATTCCCTCTGAACCTACCATCTTTATATGTATATATAAAAGTATCACCTGTATTAACTCTAAGTGGTGGGCCGCCTTTAAGATGCGATATTTTAGCAGTACCACCAGGTGTGGAAGGTTTAGTAGAGATGACTTGAGTAGCTATTTGCTCTGCAGCGAGTGGATCAGCTGTAGCTAGCTGCTTGAGATTCTTTCTAAAAGTGAATGGAGTGCACTGGTGTGGCAGACCTCTTCCAACTAGACTCAAACAATCACCACATCTTTGAGGGGTACAATCTTCCACAGGTTTAGAATAGTCCACTGGGCTCTTCTCATCAACTTCAAATGTCCAACTTGACAAATAAGACAGTTGCAACCTTGATATCTTGTTGGTGGTCTAACTTTTATAGATGAGAAAGGAAACAAAGGTGGCAGGTTAACATCTTTTCTTTCATCTTTTCTCCGAAGATTTGTTCGACATGAGTCACAAATGCCTCTTGGCACTCTGGTATCATTAAAATCAAGACTTGTATGGTAATGCTTGAGGATCTTTTTAACAAGGAACGGTGTCAACTCTCGAGAGCACTTCTTCAGACACAAAACACAGACAGATTTTCGACAATCTTCATGATTTTTTGAAAAATTTGGCATTTTGAAATTTTTCTCACACAACTGATAAGTGAAACACTTTAAATAAACATATTCACTGCCAAATCCCGGAATTTTTAGCTTGTTTACAATTTTGATGCAAAACTTAAAACAAACATGTTCACTGCCTATTCCCGGAACTTTCGGCTTGTTTACAATTTTGATGCAAAACTTAAAATAAACATGTTCACTGCTTATTCCCCAAATTTTTAGCTTGTTTACAATTTTGATGCAACAAAATGTTTATAATATAGTTCAACCATGAAAGTGTAGGTAAAATTTTATCTTCTGAGTTAAAATAAATACAAATTATACTTGCTATATAGACTGTTATGTTTTAGAGTAATAAATGCTAATTTTGTAGAGTTTTTGAATGCTGTAAAAATGCAAAATTTGAAAAGCTGTCATTTTGCCCTATTGTGCAAAGTACTAAAAATCAAAATTAAAAACTAAAAATCAAAATTATTTTCTTGGACGAAATAGTTAGATTTCAAATTTTATATTTTTGGAGTCAGGAAACATTGTAGTTTCACCCTGTCAAAGCGGTTTTCTCAGGTCAGCTCAAAGTAGTTTTTGGTCATTTTTTACAAGTGGTAAACCACAGAATACCAAAAATTAAATATATTAAAGAGGTAACGATTTTGGTAAATCTTTAAGATTCCCTTTAATGATTTCTTCTTTATTTGGCCAAAAAAGTTTTTGCATATATGTATAACAGTTATTGAATGTAATGCTTTATAAAGCATTACCATTAGATGCTAATTTTCAATA